CTGCTAGTCACAAAGTACAAAAGGGAAGGCTTGTAGATGCCAAGCTCTGCTGGGTTAAGAAGCAGTGAGGAGATACAGGGGATCACTGGGAAGCAATCCCTAATAGGGCATTGCTTCAGGTGCCGGTGCCAGAAGCTGGGCCTGCCAGCATCTTCTGATGCACAACTTGTCACAGTTTGCCTACATTTTTACAGGTGGCATAGTTGTTTCATCCCATCACTGGAAACTGAGATGCATAATAGATGAACTTCAGCTTTATTCTTTTGTTTTGTTCTTGATTCAATAATATGGACAACTGCATTTGGAGAAATTTTTAGCTAGCCATAGGGACAAAAGCAGAATTACCTAGAATCGCTGTCCCAAGCATTTTATCTCAGTGGGGACTGCTCATCTGCTTAACAGGATTGAGGCCAACATACCAATGACTCTGTTCCTATTTAAGCAACAAAAATCATTTTAACAGGAGATCTCTTTATGGAGAAATCTCTGTCCTAAATAAAGAACTGCTTTCCTTGTTAATCAGAAAATTCCTGGATTCTGGATTTTCTCAGTTATGTTTTTAAGGGTTATTTAGTTTTGAAAAAATGCTGTTGGTGCCATATATTTTCACCTGTTGCAAAATAGTGTAGGAACAGCAAATAATATTATAGTTATGTTTGTTTTACAGATATTCATCTTGTTTCCACACATAGATCACAGAATCACAGAATCATTAAGGCTGGAAAAGACCTTTAAGATCATCAAGTCCAACCATCAACCCAACACCACTATGCCCACTAAATCATACATGTTCTTTTCTGCTTTGTGCATCAGCTAGTAAAAATAAATAAATGATACATGGCTGCTTCCTCACCCATTGATTTAAATATTCTGTATGCTTTTATCAGTAGACTGTTATCTTTTGACCCTTCTGTAGCTGTTTGCACCAACAAAACTGCAGTTTTCTTCACAAAGGAAGAATTTATCTTCTCACATTTATGCTTGTAGGGTTTTTTTCAAGTAAAACAGTCCCCTTGGGTTATCAGCATAATGCTAGTAAATGTTTAGAGGGGTTCTGTAAATAAATGGGTTTAAACAAATGTAGGGTCTTTGCCTGTATAGACTGTGGAAAGGAGCAGAAAATTAGCAGTCTAGAGCAAAAATGAGGTAGTGTCTGTCATTTTCTCGACGTACAATTGTTCATGTCTCCCTGTCATAATAACAAGATGTGTTTTGTCTAGTGGGTCTGATTTAGCCATCCTCTCCTATTTCGAGATTTTCTCTGGCAGAAGAGTTTCCCCAGAGGGTGGAACGAGGCGAGTTAATAAAATTTCTGTAAATGTCTAAAGTCCTAATGGGGATTCACTTTTGGTGACAGTTTTATGTATGGTTTGTATAGTTGGGTGGTAAATGGTAAAAGAAAAATACTGGAGGACATGTTCAGTTTCAGTACCTTCATGGCAAGAATAATTTGGGATAGATCATTGTTTTTTTCTAACAATGCTTTCCTGGGTATTAATGGATTATTATATTTATTATTATTCCATTAGGGTAAAAGGGAAAATTCTGCCTCTTGTTTCGAAATGTTTTCTGTCAGTTTTTCTTCACTTTTTCAACATTGTTCTTTTACGCAGGAGAAAATTTTTGACTGGAGGTAGAGTTCATACTCGCACCTTTATTTGACAGTATGTTTTCCTTTTTTGTACACTTTTATCTTACAAACTTCTAACTTTCTTATAAAAATATCAAAGTTGCATTCTGAATTACAAAATTCATAAGGTCAGTCTGCTAGCTTGACCGTTTGTTTAAAATAGACATTCTTTTTTCCCTTTTAACAGACTGATCAATTTTCTGAGTGTCTGAGAAGTGGGTGCCTTTTTTGATCCAAAGGTAAAGTAGACAATTGGAATGTTGAGATGTGCCATTTTTCCTGAACACAGGTACTCAACTTTAAGGTAAAATGCACAGCTAAAATGGAAACTCATTTAACAGTAGTTTTATTTCTTGGATTTCATTATTGAATGAGATGAGGAAAAGGTTGATAACTTACTCAGCAGCATATATTGTGCAAATGTTTTATAAATGACAAAACAATATCAGACCATCATCTATTTGTAAAGTGTAACAAATCAGAAAGCCGTAAAATATACCACAGACTCCATTGTGAATTTTAGAGCTGTCAGTCCCAAGGTCTCTTCTATCAATTACTCTGCAAAAGGAGACTTTCTGGAATAAAGTGGACTAAAAAATGATAGGATATCTAAGTGCAGTCAGTTACTTAAGAAAAATCTGGCCTATAGTAGAATGTTTCATGATGTATGTGATTATCTGCAATCTATTAAATGATAAATTTCTATTTGATTTCTTCAGAATTTCTTCAGAATCCAGTGAAGCAAGTAATACAATTGTACCTAGTGAGTTCATACTCCTGAAGTACTAGCTTGCTGACCTAGTGTAGTAAACATAATTAGGTTAGCTTGGTTACTAGCTTTTTACCTAGTGCATTTAGAAAAAACAAAACAAAAGCTACAAGTGGTTGAGAACATTATGGTGAACTTCATAGTATTGCACACAGCTGTGTGAAGGTGATGTTATGCATGGCTGAACCTAAAGGAATCAAGGCAATTGTTTATAGGCAACAAGCTTCAAACTAAAACTTTGCATGGGACTTCTCTCAGTAAGACTCTTCTGATATCACTGATTTTGTAGAAACTAATTACATAGAACTAATAGACCTGGGTTTTTTCCTCCCCTGTTTTTTCTGTCAAGATCATGCTCTTGATTTAATACCTTTAATGATACTTTGTGGGTTTCTATATCTTTTCTCTGAATAAGGCTTATTCTGAAAAGTCTTTGGTTTGCTGTACCAAGCAGGATATTATGCATCCTTAATGTGTTAATTTAAAAGTTGTGTCTTTTTATTACTTCTCTTTGGTTTACCTTTTTGCTTCAGTCATTAGAACTTTTGGAAATATGAGTACACATCCTTTTTAGCTCCTTATGTATCATTGCGCATTACCAACTGGAGTGCTTCATGCAAAACTAGTGAATCTTTTGAAACGGACAGAAAGATTTAATCCAGGCACTGCTAATCCCAGGCAATTTTACAGATGAGTAGGCTTTATTTTTGTGTAATCTGGTTTATGATTCTTTTTAAAGAAAAGAACTTACATAATATCTTTTTGAAGCAAAGCTACCAAAACCATGTCTTTTAGCAAATGAAAAATTGTAGTATTAATTGATTCATTGGTATTATGATAAACAGAGTTGTAATCTCTCCTTCACATTTGTGATTACAAATCTCAGCTAAATTCTGAGAATAGGGATGAAAACCTAAAAGACTTTTTTAAAGGCTTTATAGGATCAAATAAATGTGGCTATCTCAGAACTGATCATGATTTATGCTGATCAAAGCTTCTTTTAGACTCAAAACTTCTGGTGACCAGCTGTGCCTTATAAGGAACTACAAGGGGCAACATCTGCTAATTTTTAAGATGGAAGATCTGACAGACAAAATGTAATTTTTCTTTATTATTGTAGTTCATTCCTTCCTTCCCCTCATATGTCTATCTCTACTCTTATTTATAGCCCTACTGATTTGTCAAAATGTTACTAGATGAGCTAAGTTTTCTATTTCATTCTGGTTTTGTAAAAAGTCCTAGAAAAGCCACCTTGTCTCCTTGCTCAGTTGTTGCTGCACAGTATTTGAGTTTTATCCTTGCCTTGCCTGTCGTCATGTTCTTTCTTCTCAGTGTCCCCATTTCAATATGTTCTGTTAAGCTAGTTTATTCTTCCCTTCCACAGTGGACCCTCATCAGTTTCTATAACCTTTCACTAACTCATGCGTGTGTTATCAGTGGTCTCTCACCTTCCAGTCTTCTGAACTTAGTTTCTTTTGTTTGGTGCCCCTTCTTCACCTTCTGTCTCTCTCTCTGTTCCCCTGTCTGTCCTTCCCACTTTCTCTCAGCAGTCAGCTTCTGTGCAAGTCACAATATTCCAGGTTTTTCCACTCTTTTTTTAGCTTGTATGTGATGCAGGCAGCTTCCACAGTGTCCTTGAGCAGGGGACTGAAGACTTATAACAAGATTGATTGTTTCATTGATCCTGATACACTGTAGGTGTGGCAATACCCCTAGAGCATGGTCATTGCAACCTCACTTACTTTAGGTAACTTGCTGAGCATGTGTGACATCAGGCTTACTTGATAAAAAAGAAAAATCAATAGATTTTCATAGGAATAGTTAGATAAAGGTATTTAACTTGAGGGCCATCTTCTAATATGTCTCATAACCTGCTTTTAAATCAGTCATGTGATGGAATGCTTTCATGCAAAAGAAAAGCCACACACAAGCTTTTTTTTTTTTCTTGCACATTTATAGTTAAGACAAAATAATTTGGGGATCTCAGTCTTGAAAGCAACAAAAAACGTTGACCTCATAACCGAATGTGCCTAGGTGGGTTTATAAGACAGTGCATTCCTGTCTGTAGCAAAAGTAAAACATATTAGTTTAAATTCAGTGTGATACCTATTTGTAAGAAAATTCTGAATGTAATAACTATTTCTCTTTGTAGCTACATTTTTCTTTCATCTTAATATTTCAGTGACTGACAATATCCTGCTGTGATTTTTACTAAATAGAATAAATATAACATAATGCTGCATTTTCTAAAGCTTCCAATTTTTAATGAAAGTTAAATGATTGCTGTACTGGTATCTTGTATTTAGACAGTCAGCCTTACTCTACTCCTTTGCCTTTGATAGCAACCTTTTGATTTTATTTTATGTATCCTTTCTGTTTGAGACGACATTGAGGGTTTTTTTTTTTTTAAATACTTAAAATCTACTTGTCTACATATAACACTAAATTGTGCCATAAGCTATGCAGAGAAGGTGTCCCCAACCTCCT